CACCTGCTGACCCCACTGCCAGCCTTAACCCTCACACCACCTGCTGACCCCACTGCCAGCCTTTGTCTGTCTGTCTGTCTGTTTTTGTCATAGGATGTGTGCACATGAGAGAGAAAGAAGCGATGAGAGGAAAGTGAAAAATCATCTCCCAGAGGCATAGACATGCTACATTCCCTTCTCCTCCATTCTCCTCCTGGAGTTTTGGGCACGCACACACCCCTGGTGTGAGTTTAAAGCCTCTAACCACAGTCACCCATGTGGGAGTCCAGGGCCTTAACCACTACACCACCTGCTGACCCCCCACTAGCCCTTTTCTTTTGAGATATTTTTGCAATCGGGCATATGTACTCACTGGAGATCGAGGGAGAGAAAGTGAGAAATCACCCCAGGGGGAATGGCCATGCCTTGATCCCTTCTCCTCCCATTCTCCTCTCAGTATCTTGGGTACACACATACACATGCCCGATGTGAGTTTCAAGCCACCGGGTCCAGGACTCAAACTGAGGTCGATCATGTGAGAGTCCCGCATCTTAACCGCTATGCCACCTGCTGCCTCCCCCACTAGCCTTTTTAAAACAGTTAACCTCGTGCGCTGTCATAAGCTACTTTGCTGCCTAGTAAACTGATGTATTATTGGGTGCAGGAAGGCTGCAGTCCCAAGCACTCCTGACCTCCAAGCAGCATTCACTACCCAGATGACATCAAGCTGGAATTCTTCTGAGGGTCATGCCATCCAGAAACTTGGAAAGGACATTTGAAGGTCTTGGGTTTGGGTTGTCATGGGAACAGGTCTGGTCAGTGTTTCTCTCTCTTTTTTTAAATAATGGAGCTTCTGTGCGTGCACATACAGGCAAGAGGAAAGACAGGCACCTTGATGGCACCTCATCACGCCACAATCCCCTTTGCTTAGCCCTGCAGTTCCTCAGGATCCTGGAGCCCGCTTCACACACCTGGTATGTTCAGTCCAGCTGGGGGATCTGAACCCACAGTCACCACGTGGCTCCCAGCTTCCTGCTCCATCGCTGCCTCGCGGCTGCTGGGCCTGGCCTTCATCTTTCAGCTTGAGCCCAATCTTGGCTGGTGGGGCTCCTCGCAGAACCACTTGCTGTCCCAGGGCCCAGATCGGTGATGTTCATGTAGACCTGCAGCAAATCTGTCGTCTACAACAGTACCATAAGGCGCTGCTGTGTGGTTCTTAAACTGGGGACCAGATCCTTACCCCATCCATTCAGGCTGCTGTAATGCTTCAGACTGGGTGATTTACAAGCAATAAAAGTTTTTTCAAGGTGATTTATTTCTCCTATGAGAGAAAGAGAGAAACAGAGAGAGAGAGACGACATCCCTACCAGGATTTTGATACCACAAGCCACCCCCAGCTTCAGCCAACTCCAGATTACAGGCACACATGTGCTCAGCACACCCAGGGAGGTCTTGTGACATCAGCTGGGAGTTTCCCCACGTGGACCGGCCCGGCAGACCAGCGTACTCCCTGCTGCACCATCGTCCAGCCGCAGTGGCAGAAACCTCCTGCTCACAGTCTAGAGGCTTGGAAGTCCACACAGACATGCTGTGTGGTGTGGGCCCAGCACTCATGCGTGCCCTCCAGCGACGGAGGGGTCAGGAGGGCCCCACCTCATGACCTGGTCCCTTCCCAAAGGCCTGCCCCCACACTATCACCCTGGCAGGTAGATTTGAACACGTGGCCACCGGGGACGCACTCACACCACAGCACCTTGCCCTCCGAATGGAGCCAGCACACACAGAGCACCTTCCACAGACAACTGAAGACAGAGTTTCTCCTTCAGCCGCCCCATGACTTGTTCATCACACTGCCTCCACGCTCCCCTCAGGCCTCAGGCCCCATGTCCTCCTGTCCCTTGTGGGGGAGGGGGCGTCAGCCCCACAGCCAGACCTATGGGGCAGGAGACTGCTAGCAAAAGGAGGTGGGTGAGGGGGCCAGTCTGCCCATGTGGCCAGAAACTTCCCTGCCGAGGGAATGTGAGCAGGAGAGGAGGGGGCGGCTAGCTGATTAAGCCACATTTGACCTTAGAGGCAGTCAGTCACTACAACCCTGTAACCGTGCCAGTGAGGTGAGAACAATCAGGGGGCCCAGCCAACCACCAACCCACAACCTACAGGACCTCGATCCTCGTTAAAGACCGTGGGTCTCACCGATGCAGCTGTCTTTCTCGGTCTGCGTGGCCTCTCCTACCTCCCAGGAGTGCGCTGTAACGTAACAGAATAACTTTTCCTCGCGCTATCTGCATGTTTCAGTCAATTCTTCACTGGAAACACCAAGAGCCCGGGTACCATCACAGGACCGCCCTGCAGCACCTCTTGGCCTCTTGCTGAGGGTCTCCCCACCATGAAGGCAAAGGCGGTGACCACGGCGGCACTGCCCTTGGGCTTAGAACCCTGCCCTGCTGCAACTATGCATTGCCAAGAACACTAGCCAAGAGGCCCTATCAGATGTGCGCTGCGGAGGCAGTGCCAAGCCAGCTTCTGGCACGGGAGACATGCAGGAAGGAGCAAGCTCCGTTCTGGAGACCACGCTGGCAACCCTGGGCGCTGGCCCGTCAGCCCACTCTGGCAGCAACGATGCCACTTCAGAGTCACCTAAAGTGGAACTATTCCTAATACCCAGTGCTTGGAGAATGCTGGGTCTGTTGACAGAGATAACCAAGCTCTGCAGAAATAGTAATTAATGCAGTTTGTGCTAAGAGTGAAAGTGAGTGACCACCAGAAACAGAGGTGTTTCTTGGGGAGTTCAGATGCAGTGGTTCCTTTTATTGCATTCTGAGAGAAGGAGAGTTGTCCTCGGCAGAGTCTACCACAGCCTGGCCAAGAAGGGTGGGGGCGTCTAAACGCGGGGCTTGTAGGTCATAGGCGGGTTTGTTTTAGGTTAGTGGTTGGTTACAAAAAATAAATAAACCCATCTGTGTTCCCAAAGAAAGTCAGCAAAGTAATGCCTGTGCTTTTCTTTGATGGAGGTAAGCGGCCTCACAGGGTCAGGATGTGGCAGAGCCCAGACACTGGTGTGACTCTCTGGGGCCCTTTGTCACGAATTTTTGGAACTAGGGGAGAGAGGTCAGAATTCTGTCCTCAGGTCCTTGACACAACTCTCAGACTGCTTCTGTCAGGCTTAAACAGGCTGCGTTTTTACCCCTTTGGCCTATGCTCAACGTGTCCAGCAGGCGTTGCAAATCATGATGCAACTGGCAGGAAAGTCGCACCTGAAGCGACGCGGAAGCACGAGCCTGGCTGGGGCAGCAG